GGAGGCTGGCATTCTCATGGAGAAAAACACACTTTATAAGAAGTCAACAAAACAAATAAAATAGTCAGAGGCCGTGAAAGGCACTGGCAAGGAGACGGGAGAAACTGGCCTGGAGACAGTGAGCAGAGGCAGGAGAGGGGCGTGCCTGCCTTCAGAAGCACAGGCCTCTGGACGTGACTTTCTGGCTCATCCTTGAGGGATGAGAAGGCACCAGCTCTGTAAAGAGCCAGGGGAGGGGTACCCCAGGGAGAGGGAACAGCAGGCGACATCCTGGAAGCAGGAAAAACCTTGATCTGTGGAAGGGACAGAAAGGGAGAGTTGAGGAGGGCAGGGCTGAGCCAGCCCGCACAGGCCTGGAGGCCTCGCATGGGGCACGGATCCTCATCCCACTGCGTGAGTGAGCCTCAGAGGTTGAAGCAGGGAGGGTAACTTGATCCTATTTACATTTCAAGCTCACGCTTCCCTTGTGCAAGAGACTGGTTTAACTGGAGAATGGAGGAAGGAAGAGCTGCTGTGGTGTTCTAGACAGGAGATGGGGGGTTGGGACCAGGGGACGGGCAGTGGCGGTAGAAAGAGATGGATGGACTTGGGGGGGAGGTGGGAGAAGCAGCAGTGGATGGGGTGGATATGGCGTGACAGAAGGCTCTGCCCTGAGCACCGGTGGGGACAGCGATGACATCTGGGGAAATGGGGTGACTCACTACCCGACAACTTTGGAGGGTGGGGAGCGAACGTGTTACTAAAAAGTTCTATTATAGACAAGCTGAATCTGAGGGTCTGAGAGCAAGAGAAGTGCTCAAGTAGGATGGAGAAAGGCAAGGTCTCATGGAGAGGGGCCAGATGGGGTGTCGCCTGGGCCAAACTACTGCCTCTGCTTGCCAGCTCTGACTTAGGAGGGTCCCGCTGTCTGGAGAGGGCTCGCAAGCACCTCTGTCCTGGGTCACGATGTGAGTTGGTGCACGGGGAGGAGGTTTCAGTGGCAAGTGTGCCATCAACGTTAGCCTCCTAAAATAACAATTAATGTCATCATCTTAGCTACAGTAATTTTCTTGCCATTTGTCTCTTTCTAATTAAAATCAAGGATCTCCGTAGTTGATAAACACTTCTCCTGATGTTCTGGGAATTGCTGGTCTGCCAGCCCAGGAACTCAGTGAACAGAGGTGGGGTCCTCCATCACCTTCTAGCAGAGTACCCCCACACGGTAGATGCCCACACACAGTAGGTGCCCATACACGGTAGGGGCTCGTGGAATTCCAGGCATGTGGAATTTAGCTTGACTGCGGGGGAAAAATGTTTATCTGAGAGAGTCCATCAGGCATTGAGGATAGCAGAAGGGATTTCGACACAGACAGGAAAGGAAAAATGCCTAATTCAGTGACAATGAGGGTGCCCAGCTTAATTGCTCCCGAGAAGGAGGCTCTTGAGTTCACAAAGCAGCCTCTTCCACAATTAGATGCTGGTCTGTTTGAAGAAAGGTTTTCCTTACAATTAGTAAAAGCTGAATCCTCCCCAAGGGGTGTGTGTGTGTGTGTACATGCACACATGTGTGCGTACACGCGCGCGCACACACACACACACATCGCTCTGGAATTTTCTGCAGTGTTGTCATGGACCTGACCTGTTGCTGTCACATGTTTCTCTGTCTTGTTCACTTGACCTGAAGCTTTTTCCTTAAGCATTTTTTAGGGAACTTCAGCCTCTAGGATGGACTTGTTGCCCACCCCCGCCGCCGACTCCACCTAGGGGTGGCCCCGCTGCCCCTGGAGAGGGGTGCTGTCTGTATTCAGCAGAATCCACGGGCCCACCTCATGTCCTTTGTGAATCATGGCAGGTGGCTCTGCCCTTTTCAAGATAAAAGTTACATTTCCATTCCAGACAGTGGGTCACATTTTAGTTTAAATTTGTCCTTTTAGCTAATATTTGCTGAGGTATATTTACTTGCTAAACCTGCAACCTTAGTTAAGAGTCCCAAGTCCAAATTTCCAGGAAATGGAACAAGAAACACTAGGACACAGCCCCATGCTTGCCCTGAAAGGTCACATCTTGGATGCTGGAGCCGTGGTCCAAAGCCAGGCCCAGAGGCCTCCACCACCCACCCAGGTGACTCCCAGACCTTCCTGGAGAGTCTTCCAACAGTGCTGGGTGATCTAGACTCCCCCCACTGTCTTGAAAAATTCTTAATCCTGGAGTCCAGGATTCTGACCCACTGTGTACCCCCTAAATTCCTTTCTTCATAGGCCCCTACCGCTCTCATATAAATATGCCCTTGGAGGCCTGGTCTGACACCCAGTTCCTGAGGCGTGCATGCAGATTAGAGCCCAACCAAGACCAAGCTTGTCTCCCACACCTAGATTCTAGCTCCACTACATCAGCGCCCCCTGGTGACCAGGGACAGTGTCTCATGGGGACTCCTGGTGTCTCATGGGGGGAGCCTTAACAACTCCTACCAATGGGCTCCTGTTTCACGACCCCCTCCAACCTAATGCTCCTCTGTCAGCAGAAATGATGGTATGTAGAAGGTCCTCGAATCACAACATTTCGTTCAATGTCATTTCATTGTAACATTGATGAGAAAAAGAAATCTTTCCCCATGTCAAATGAAATGACCTTATTCAAGCACCTGCTTTCCCTAATACATTGTTTTGTCTGGTCACAGTTTCTAAGAACCTACCGACAATGTTAAATAAGAATCAGGAACCCAATGAAGAGTCAAGCACACGTCCATCCCACCCGTTGCCTGAGATTCTCTGTGATTCACCCCTCTGTGCTCTCCCCCTTGACGTGAATGGGAGCCTTCGTGCCATTAACTTTCTGGAACAATAGCCCCTATCATTTCCTCCAAGGATAAGACAGAAGGTCATTCCCCGACAGTTGTAGCCCTCCTTTATGCCACAGAGTGGGTTAACTAGAGGTGGGACTAGAACCAGGAATTCGGAGCACCTGGCATCTTTCCTCTGTTTCCACCCTCTGAGCTAGCAAGGGGGAGGGGGAGGTGAAGGGGCTGGGGCAGCAGTTGATGCAAGCGTGCGGTTCCCCAGCCTCAGGGCAAGGGTCATCCTCTGAGAAAGGAGCACCTGCACATCGAGAAGGTGGAACCCAGGAGCCTGCAGGCCCCCAGCCTCCACTGCCCTCACCAGTCCCTTGTCACGCCACCTTGGCAGTGGCTTCTTCTCTCCATTCAGCTAGTACTAAGATAGCTCCCTACCTTGAGGGGCAGCCCCTTAGAGGGACCTTTGGGGGTGCTCCCCAGCCTCCACTCTCCTAGCATTGACCATCCAACAATATCCCTCCGCAATCTGCCTAAGAACTTCAGTGATTTTTAAAGATAAAGTCTGGAGCCAGAGGATTAAGTAAAGATCCTTTAACCTCGCCCCTGCCTACCTTGCCACCCTCAGCTTTGGGCGGCCTGCCTAGAAATTTATGGCCCAGAAATACTAAAACCTCCCTAGTTACCAGAGGTAGGCTGTCACATCTCTATAACTTTGCTCATTCTGCCCCCCGCCCTTGAAATTCTCCTACCCTCTCTTCCCCTTTCTCCTTATTTAAGACACAGTTCCGAGGCCTGCCCCCCCAGGAAGTCCTGCTGAGTCCCTGGGCTGTTTGGTGCATGTCTCTGATCCCTCAACCACTGCTATGCCATAATTACAATAACCAGTGCCTGTGCCACCTCTCCCACAGGCATTGGGCACCCTGGCAAGGACAATGTCATGTTTAGCTTTGTGTTTCTGGCACACGACAGAGCTTGCTGCGAGCAGGTGCCCTGTAAATGCTTGCTGGTTGGGTTTCATCACTGGTTGATCAGCTTAACCAGTTCCCTAGAGAAGGAAGTAGCCTGTTTACTAGCAGAGTTCATGGCTCCTCCGTGAATCTGTCCATGCTCTTCCCTAACCTCTCTCGCAGTGCCCGGGTGGCTAGGGTCAGTTCACAGACACCTTGCCAGAGGTGCTCTGATTTCATCTTGCGAGTTGTCTGCCCTGCTGCTCCTTGAATATAGACTGTCCACGCAGTCTGTGTTTGTTCAGCTAATATCTTAAACACCTCTCCACACTGTGCACTGCCCAGAACCTGCCCTATAGAAATACCACTCTCAGAAGTCCCCAGCCAGGCGGGAAATCAGACAAGGAAAGAGGCAAACACACTAAGTCCTCGCTTAACGTCATCCATCAGTTCTTGGAAACTGCGACTTTAAGTGAAATAAGTAACGAGTAATGTCCTTTTGTTCAAGTCGGTCAGCCAGGATTACTTTTTTTAAAAGATTTATTTATTTATGCACACAAGAGCTGGGGTACAGGCCAGAGGTGCGGGGGTGAGAGGATTCACCAGAGACAGAGCGGGGAGCAGAACAGGCAGATTGACTGAAATACACTGCTGAGGGGAGCAGCAGGTGAGACATGCTGAGCCATGTGGGTTAGCTCCCTGGTCGGGGATCAAACTCGGGCCGGAGTGACTGGCAATAGCTTGATAGCGCTGAAACTTAACCCCTGCGCTACCAGGAAGGCCCCAGTTTTGTCTTATCAACATGCTAACCATACGGTGTGACTGGAGGACCTGTTGCAGAATGTTCTGTGAATGTTCAGGGCACACAGACAGGGTCCCACAGGGCCCCACTGCTGGCCGACTGTGTGGCCTTGGGCAAGTTCCTTTACTATAACCTGATTCTCCATGTTGAAAGGGGGGTAAGGATAGGACTTACCTCTTGGAGTTGTGTGGATCCTCTTGGATTAAACAAATGAATTTGTGCAAACAGTTTAACAGAGGGCCTTGCTACAGTAAACACCCAGCACATGTTAGCCATCCTAGCTGGTTGCTCAGCATGCTGGGGGGCACAGGGGAGAGAGGAAGAAGGATGGAGACCATCCCTGCTGTAACTGGAGTCTAGGAACAGGCACAGACACCAAGAGCAAAGTCCTTGGCGCTTGCTAAGTGTGTCGCCCTGGAGCACTGGTCCCTGGCACTGGTCCCTGCGGAAGCCATTGCACTCACATCTCTCCCTTCCTCAGGGCCGACGACTGCTTCTGCGCGTCTCGGAAGCTGGACGCGGTGGCCATCGAAGCCAAGTTTAAGCAGGACCTGGGTTTCCGGATGTTGAACTGTGGAAGGACGGACCTGGTGAAACAAGCAGTGTCTCTCCTAGGGCCTGATGGAATCAACACCATGAGCGAACAGGTACAGGGTTAGGGTGTCTGAGCAGGCACCCCACATCCACCACGCGCCCAGGCCCCAGGGCAAAAAGGCAAACAGTGGGCACTGGACAGAGGCTCCCTCTGCTGGTGACTTCGGGTGACTTTTTTCCCGTAGCTTTTAAAATATCTTACAAAAATACCCTGATTCATCTTTATAGAAATAACACGTGATCATTGCAGCTGAAATGGAAAAAAGAGAAAAAATAGTCCTATTCCAGAAAGGAAATAATGTCATCACCCAGATAACCATCATTTATATTTATATTTAGTCTGTGTCCTTCAAGTTCTTTTCCCAACATGGATAAAATTAGTTCTCCGCCTGCTGGTCTGTCACTGCATCACAGAACAAGACCAGCAGATTTCCATAGGAGTTCTAGAGTTTAAGGTGCACAAAAGTCATTCTGGGGAGCACTAAGAAGCACCTCAGAGATGGGCAGCCATGCCCCCAGGCCCCTGAAAGTGAGGCTCAGTGAGAGACTCGTGTGTCTCTCAAGCAGGGACACACCATGTGTGAGTGAAGATGTTACAGAGAAAACAAACAGCAGTTTCAGCGTGAGCCCCAGGTGGGAAGTCACAGGGGTGGATGGAGAAGCCGCTCACCTGAGCAGCTCTGCCTCAAGTTCCAGGGAAGCAATAGCAGCAGATCATTTTCTTGAACAACTCCAGGGAGATGCTCCCCACAACTGCACATCCATCCACACACATGCACTGAGCATGCATGCACACACAAACACACACACACTCATTATTAAAAAAAGGGGGGAGGTTTCTTGTATCTTGCTTTTTTCCTTGATTTTATTTTCAAGGTACTTTGCAATATCATGAATTTTTTTCAATCACTTTTCATGGCTACATAAAATGGTCAAAGTATTTACCCAGCTAACAATACCTCAGTTGTTGAATTTTGGGTTGTTTCTAATCACCTTTATCAATAATGCTGAGCTCAACATACTGACACGAGTCTTTGTTCAAATCCCTGGTTAACTCAGCATGGAAATTCTTCTAAGTGAAAATAGCGGCTCAGATGCATCAGTTTTTCTTAAGGTTCTGTTCTGAACCTCAAATAACTTTCCCAGACTTTTTGTTTCCTTGAACCCACCCTCCAATTCTATATTCTTTCCCTACTAATCTTTTTGCTTACCTTTTATCTGTTTTTCACCAGAGCATTACTGTTTTCTTCTTTGTTTAGAAGCGCTCTTTACATATTAGGTATATAGCCCTTAGTTATAATGTGACGAATAAGTCTCAATATATTATTTATTTTTTAATTTTGTTTATGTTTCCTATTTTATGTCCTCAATGCTGTCATGATTTTTCTTTGTGATTTCCTTCATCACTTTTATGTTTAAAAATGGATCCAAAGACAATTTGGATGATTTTAACGGTTTCAATCTGTTCAATATACCACTAATCAAACCAGGAGTGATTTTGGTATATATCAGTAGTATGAGATAAGATTCTAGGTTGATCATTTTCCCAAAAAGCCATCCTCACAACACTGTTTATTAAAAAAAATCCACCCCTTCCTTGTGTTGGTTGTGGTATGGTGTTGGCAATAAGCAGGAATCATGGGCAAATATGAAATTCCTGAGAACCATTCAGAACCATTCCTCATTCACTCACCTTTTGCTTATAAATGGTAACTTCAAACCAGATGTCAGTGATGGGGCTCAGAGGTCAGAGGCATCCAATTCCTCTTGACACTGGCCAGCAGCTTCTCCTCAGCAAGGATGACACTTGTTATATTGTGAGAGAGGAGAAGTCAACAGTATTCATCACTTATGTCAACAGTATTCATCATCAATTAAATCACTGCGGGCTGACACTGCAGAATCTGGAAAGCTCCTGAGAACTGTAAGTGGACCAGCTACCTTTTAGAAGCACTGTCAGGTCTGTGGAGCTCTAGCACAGACAGACAAAAACCCTCCAACAAAGGTAGATGGGAAAAATGCAATCCGTGTTCCCATCTGGCCTCCGTTTTGGTCTTCCAGACATGGAACATGGCGCCCTCCAGAGCCACTGGGTTGCACATTGACTTCTTTGCTGCTGGGTTTGCACAGCCTCCTGCCCTTACGTAAGATTGCCTATTTGTTGTCGAGCGACAAGGACTCCTTGTAAACCTTCTCCATTCTCTGGTTTCCTACCTACGCAGGGCATGACCCCTCTGATGTATGCCTGTGTCCGTGGGGACGAGGCGATGGTCCAGATGCTGCTGGATGCCGGAGCTGACCTGAATGTGGAGGTGAGGGTGCAGAGGTCTGTGGGGCCCTGGCCTGGCAGTCCCCGGGGACGCAAGCAAAGAGAGGGGTGCTTTTTGTCCCAAGAGCCATGGCTGAGGGCGCTTGGTCCAGCATTTAGATGCACCCTCTGCCTTTTAGTTGCTGTGGTGTCTGTGAGATCATCCTGAGGCCTGGCCCAACCAAAAGCCAAGGAGCTGCCGGCTTGTTATGTCTCGTTTTAAAACAATCCACAGAACACGGTCCTTTCCTCAGCATGGGGCTGACTCAGAGTCTTCCACCAATGCATTCCTTCTGGGGTCGGGGAAGTGAGAGCCCCCCAAGCCAGCAGCCCTACCCTCTGCCTAACACAAGCTGTGTCTCCTGAGCTGAGGTGCCGCTCCCCCATCCCTGACCTCGCCTCCGCACAGGCTCACTTTGTTGGCAGCCTTGAGCCTACAGGTCCTGAAGCTCATCTCAGAACTTCCTTGAGGTGGTTTGAGAGAGTGGAAAGCACACCCACAAAGGTTTTAGGATTTGACCCTCAAGTTCAGTTTCTGAACCACTCTTAGTGACTTGCTTCTGTGCTTGGCCAAGTGGCTTTGACCTTTCTGAACCTCAGTGTTCCCATTTGCAAAATGGGAGAATACTAATCACACCTGTCTCAGAGAGGTGTTGGAAGGAATAGAACACCCAGTGCAAGTTTGGGAATCAGTTAATGGCAGGCCCCCCGTCCCTCCCCAGCAAGCCTTGTCTAAGTGTATCCCACTTTCTGACCATGTTCTAGGCTGCCTAAGACCCACTGTCTGGCAGCAGTTGATGGCAGACTCCCCACATGGCAGTTACAGCTCAACCACCCGGAAACCTTGCTAGTTCCAGATCAGTGCTCTTGTGTATAGTCTTCATACTGTGCCTTTTATTTTAATTAGTGAGTTTTATATTCATCTGAGGAAGGCAGGCAATAGACATAGTTTTGGACCCAGAACCATTTCAGATATTACAAGTTTCAAGCATTTCGGAATTTCTCTCTCACACACACACACCCCTAAAGCCCAAGGGCCCTCAGCTTGGTGTCCTGATGGGGTTCTCTGGGACCCATCACATGACTCCCAGCTCATGGCCAACCCCACTGGGTGCTCAGTGAACTCAATGGCTCTGAATGAAACAGGCATCATGGTTATGTGACCCCAGGAACACTGGGGAGAAAAGACAGCTTGTGGGACCTCACCTTCATAGCCCACCACCCCTCTCTGGGGCTAGGATTCTGTGAAGACCCCATATCAGAGGACATTTCGGATTGCTCATTCGTGGTGGTCCAGGGGAAGTCTTGTACCCATGCTTCCAGAAGCTAGAGGCTCCTTACCGACCAGGAAGCCAGCAAAAGAGCAGAATGAGGACAGAGTGGGGTGAGCTGGAGGCAGTAGTGACATTCGTCCATCAGATGGGGTGGTCTTCCAGCTGGTCTTCTAGCCTGACAGCTCAAAGCAGACCACCCCTTCCCTGGGGTTGCTGCTCCTGATAATTTCCCCCTAAAGGTGGGGGTAACAGTAATGTAGTCTCACGCTATCTGATACCCAATTGCTTTGAGAACCACCCCCCTCCCTCAGGCAGAGGAGAGAGACGGGCAGAGCTGCTGGCTTCTCATAGCCGCCATTATAACTTCTGGGAGGCAGCTCAGAATCAGGCGATCAGAAGTCATCCACCGAACTCCTTTCCGGTGAGAAGCAAAGGATTGCTTGCCCACAGAGGGCATCAAGTCCTGCCCATATTGCCAGCATTTCCCAAGCCACCTTCCTGGATGACCTTTTGTACCTCTCTAGCCACGGATAGGTCAAATTTGCTAGTCTAAGTATTGTGAAGGTCACGTTTTGAAAATAACTTCAATTTGTTTATAGGTTGTCAGTACTCCTCATAAATATCCATCCGTCCACCCCGAGACCCGCCATTGGACGGCTCTGACTTTTGCTGTGTTGCATGGACATATTCCTGTAGTTCAGGTATTAACGTATTTCCCTATCCACATCTGATCTTTACTTTCACCTCTTCCATTATGCAAATCGGTACCTCCCCAGCATGCATATTCCCGGAGAGATTCATATTGGTTAATTGCAATTAAACACATAGCACGTTCATTTAAATATGAATGAAAATATCATAGGTGATGATCTAGATGGCCTGGCTTTAACCAATATGAAATCATCACGTACCCACAAGCAGCCCCACGTACAGTGTGGCAAACATACCGTATCATCCGATGCTGCTCAGGGGTGGGGCCTGAGCTCTGATTTTTTGGACTTGTTTTCTTGGTTGTGAACTGAACATAGGACTTGGCTGGTGTGAGACCTTAGAGCCTCTACTTCAGGTGTGACCGTGGTACTGTGTAGAGGCCAATGGTCTCTGACCAGTGGAGAGAAGTAGTCAAGCCACCCACGGGGCGTTTCCAAGACACTTGCTTGGATCCTACTTCTTGAGGATCAAGTCCTAGATGTCAAGAAGGCCTTCCCATGTATCTCCTGGAACAGCCCTCCAAGTATGGAGAGATGTCCTCATCAAAGGCCCTTTGGAAGGTTAATGCTGCATATTGTTGCATCTTTTCTGGCTGTTGAGAGTTGGTGTTCTGTGAATCGCCATCCAGCATATTCTAGATCTTAAACTTGGTCTTCAGCTCGTCAGTAAAGACTGGCCAGCATCCGGGTCCATGACCACACCTGCCCCATGGTAACCTCTGAGCTTCGGGTTCATGAGGAACCCACCTCCTTTGATGTGACCATGAGTCTTGGCATGGGGCAGAGCAGGAATAGGGAGCATTACAGGGAATGCTCACGAGTTGTTTCCTAGGTCATGGGAATCAGTTTCAAAGTCCTATTTCAGGAGGGCGAGTGTGTGATGTGCCACTTGGAGAGCTGGCTTCTGCCTGTAGAACATCCTCATAGAGGGTCTGAGAAAGAAGGGGTCCAAGGATGGCCTGTGGACACAGATGCCATCCCTTAGCACGCACTGGCATCCCCAGCCTTTAAATCAGGAACAAGAGCAGCAGGCAGCTGAGCAAAGTCAAACACAAGTCAGGCTGCCTCTGGGTTGCGGAGAAACAAGTCATGGAATACCATGTCTGCCACCCCACCTGGCCATGCCCCAGGTAGCCCTGGGCAGGTAGGAAAAGCAGCAGATTTTCCATTTTGCATCAGCAGTGTTAACAGCTCATTCACCGTGAGCAGGACCCAGCACGGCAGAATCTCCATTTTTGAGAAGCCCAGATCTCTTAGGAGATGTACAGAATGGGATCAGATGAAGCAAAACTCTTGGAAGCTTCCTAGGCCACTGGATTAATTGCTGGCCAGGAAACTTCAGATTTACTAAACTGTCCTCAGAATCCCTTCTGGAAGGGATTCTTGCCCTGGTTAGCCCACATGATCCCCAAATCTTCCAGAACTCCAGATTCTGTGGTTCTGAGAGATTACTCATGTCCTTCCAGGGCTCTGTACAATTGCTCCAAAGAGGGAGTCTTCCAGCACGCTGGGCTCTCTGGTCAGTGCTTCTAGAAACATTCACATGCATAGAAATCACCTGGAGAGCTTGTTAAGATGCAGGTTCTCATCAGTTGTTCTGGGATGTGGCCTGAGAACCAGCATTTCTAAAAGCCCCCGGTGATGCAGCCACTGCTGCCCGAGGGTCTGGAGTGGGCTGAGGCTCTAGAAGTCACGAGAGGCCCTCAGTTCACCCTGAGGCACAGCTGCCCTCACCCCGTGCACGTGGTCACTGAGCCGAGGGAGGGCAGGCCATGGGCTTGGTGCTGACCTCACTGTGCAGGTCCTTGACACATCTCAATGGTGACTTTTCCTCCGCAGCTTCTCCTGGATGCCGGGGCCAAGGTGGAGGGCTCTGTGGAGCATGGCGAGGAGAACTACTCTGAAACGCCCCTGCAGCTGGCGGCCGCCGTCGGTAAGCGTTGCTGCCTGCCACCCAGCCCAGGGTTTCCACCTCCCGGCCCCTGATGTGTCAGTGACTGTGTGTTTGCTTTACTCTCTTATAAAACCCCCTTCTCTGGGCTTGCAGGAAATTTTGAGCTGGTTAGTTTGCTGTTGGAGCGTGGCGCCGACCCCCTGATAGGAACCATGTACAGGAATGGAATTTCTACAACCCCCCAGGGTGATATGAACTCTTTCAGCCAGGCTGCAGCCCACGGACACAGGTAGGCTAGGCTGGGCCAAAGCCACCAGGTCCCCAGTGGTGCTTGTTAAACATGCAGATTCCCAGGCCTACCCCGGACCATCACAGCTCTGGATGTAGGGCCACCGGCAGTCCAGGCCCCAGGCCTGGCCACAGTGGCCTTCACCAGCCAGCTCCATACAAGACACATCCACTCCCACTGGCTGGTGTCATCCCTTCCTGACCAGCATCCACCTCACAGAGACTCCCCTCAGCCGGTTTCCGTCACAGTCCCTCACGTTGGCCAGCATGAAGTGAGAAAAATCCATTTTAAAAAATAATATAAAACCTCTCACATGGGTTACTCCCAGTCAACATTTCCTTCAGGATCTACCCATCAGCTGTTGCTACACATCATTCCTCCACACCTCGAGAGGAGTGCAGGCTATGAAAAGAGCAGAATTCTAGAACCTTTATTTGAGAAAAGCCCTTAGCTCTAAGTTGCCCCCAGGCAACATGGCCAGTTGTGTTATACGCATCTCCATCCCCTAAAGCCACTGCCCCCGAGGGGCCCACCATCCCCTTGTCCCAAGTGAGGGATCTCCAGGCTGCACCCACCCCACCCCCTGCCCGCCCAGCCCTTCCATCTCTGAGTGTCTTCCTCTCTGGGTTTGTGATTGACAGGAATGTGTTCCGCAAACTGCTCGCTCAGCCAGAGAAGGAGAAGAGCGATATCCTGTCCCTGGAGGAGATTCTGGCTGAGGGGACTGACATGGCAGAGACAGCCCCGCCCCCCCTGTGCACCAGCCGCAACAGCAAGGCCAAACTGAGGGCCCTGAGGGAGGCCATGTATCACAGCGCTGAGCATGGCTACGTGGATGTCACAATTGATATCAGGAGCATAGGTCAGTGTGGGCAGCCTTGCCACTGAGCAGGGCAGCACTGCCCGCCTCCAGGTCACACACACGCACACACACGCACATGCACACACCACGGGGGCCCCGGAACTTCTCATTGGCTGGCCACACTGTCCCCTTAGGCAGCAGCCCCTGACGACCACCCACAGATCATCTTTCCCTGGTTCCTGCACTCTGGACCCTGGGTTAGGAATTTCAATCACCTGGGAGCTTGTGTGAATACAGATTGCCAGGCCCTACACCCAGAGGCTCTGCTGTCGAGGGTCTGGATGGATAAAGGCTGGAAATCTTTATATTTAACAATCATCCCAGGTGGTTCCCAGTGGTTGGGGAATCGCTGCCCTAGAACCCCTGAAAGCATAAAGGCAGCCAGGTGACTGTCAGGATAAGGGCCCCCCCTTATCCCTGACCAGGGATCCACTCACTGAGCTTCAGGGACAAAGCCCCTCAGGAAAAATGAGGATGGGTCTTCCTGGAGTGAGCTAGTGAAGGGCCTGCGCCGGGGGACCAGGCTAGCCTGACCTTCAGTGGTCTGATGGGGGTAGTCTGGGCAGAGGAACAGCAGGGCTGGGTGTGAACACAGGCTGTGGCAGGGCAGGGCAGGTGGAGACACCCCCCCAGACACACACACACATACACACACTGTTCTGGAAAGAAGTCTGTCTTGAGGGGTGGCTGTTTAGAATGTGGGATGTCGCCCTGAGAGCCTCGTTAGCATGATTATGAGCTGGAGACTGAGAGCTTGGCTTGTTATAAACAGTAGAGAAGTGCGTGCTCCTGTCTGTGCCTCCCCACAAGACGGGGGAGCAGATCATAGCAATCAGCCACTGGAGAGGTTCCGCTCAAGGAGGACAAGCTGATGAAGTGCACGCAGGTGGAAATACCGCTTGCACAGGGGGGCAGCAGCCGCACCCTCTCATTCCAGGTCCCTGTGTGTGGGTGCCCAGCAGTCGATGTCAAGTCCAGCTCTAGGCCTCTGGCCTGGGTGTGGATGGACTGTCAGATCCTGGGCAAGATTTCCCTGCACGGAGCTGCTCTCCTCGGAGAGCCAAGGAGAGAGAGCCGCATCAAGTCAGAGCTCAGCGGATGTGACTTACAGGAGTAGCACGCAGAGTATTCCCGCACTCTTCACGATGATCCTGTGTGGTCAGATGCCCCCTGGCATAGCAGAAGTGTGCAGAAATGGTCACCCAGGGTGCAGGAATTGAATGAGGACCTTGGAGTATCCCAACACCAGCTTTGCTCATTAATGCTCAGCCCCTCGGTCCTGTAGTTTGGTGCTGTCCCGGGGACAGGCCAGCTTCCAGATGAAAATGCGCATCTCCTTTGGTTGTCTTCTGCCTGCCCCTCCCCTCCCCGCCCTCCCTGCTCTCCTCCCCAGGCGTCCCGTGGACCCTGCACACGTGGCTGGAGTCCCTGAGGATCGCCTTCCAGCAGCACCGCAGGCCCCTCATCCAGTGCCTGTTAAAGGAATTCAAGACCATTCAAGAGGAGGAGTACACGGAGGAGCTCATCACCCAGGGCCTGCCCCTGATGTTCGAGATCCTGAAAGCCAGCAAGGTGAGAGGGGCTTAGTGCCGTGGGGTGTCCGCTGAGAGCAAGGCCAGAGCATGTTTTTCAAGCGATCCCTCGAGCAGCCCCTGCCCCTGGCCCCTACAGGTGAAAATCCCTGCTGGCTAAGGCTACCATGCCATCATTTGTGGGGCAGCAGTTTAGCTTGGCACCTGCTAAGTCCCAAGGCCTGAGGCACATGGGACACAATGAAAAGATACCCTTTAACCCAGGGAACTGGCATGAAAGTGGGGGGGTGAGGATAACAGCAACCTGTGTGCCTCCACAACACAGCAGGGTGTGAAATGCTGTTAAATTAGGTGCTCGGACCCTGACAGGTATGAGATGGCGAGGAAGACTAGGGCAGGCCTGGGGGGACAGAGGAGTCCAGTGGGAAGGAAACCCCTGGTGCTCGCCTCTCCTCACTGGCCTCCTAATTCCTGCTGACGCCTTCATTTCCAGCACCCCTTCAGACATCACACCAGCCTTTGGGCCATTGTGAGATCGAGTCATCAAAATTTCCTCGGGGGCATTTATTGGGTTTTGGGAATGATCAGCCTTGGCGTGCCCATCCCCCAGTCACCATGGGGTGGAAAGCCCAGGGCTGGGGAGGCAGAGACACCAGGGGACGTAACCCGAGGGCTTCTCAAGGGCCCCCAGGCGCCCCCAGACAGAGTAGGACACAGGTTGAGAGCATGGACATGAGAGACAAACGTGAGGGCTCAAACCTGGCTCTGCCACTTACCAGCCTATGACCCCAGTCAGGTTAGCTCACTTCCCCTGCCTCAGTTTCCCAATCTGAAAATGGGGCCAATGATTGTATTAATCTCTTGGACTGGTTATAAAGATAAAATTATATTGTACGGGGAATATAACCAAAATGAAAATGCATACATTGTACAAAAATGAAAAATGAGGTAAGAATTAAATAAAATAAAATAATAAATAAATAAAGATAAAATTAGTCAATGCCCTTCAAATTGACCCTGTCACTAGTTCGTGCTTCTAGGTGATCTCTAGCATAAAGATGACCCGGCCAAGGGGCGTGGCACCCCAAGCCTACCCGAAAGGGTGTCCCGTAAAAGTACCCCTCAGTCAGGATGAAAGCAAATTCTTAACATCCCCCTGCAGCCTGGGCACCAACAAACCTGTAACAGGCTGAATGTCAGCTCCTCTCCTTGGGGTAACATGGGTTACCCCAATTTGTCAACTCAGAGTGTTAAATAAAATACCCTAATCACAGAGGCAATCAGTGTTTCCCAAATTCATTTAACCTCAGAACCCTTTTATAATGAACTGCCTGAAGATACAAATGAAGATTCTTTAAGCTAAAGCATGTATTTTACATTTATCGCAAGCCTGGTACAATTCTAAGCACATTACAAGAATTAACTCAGTCAGGCCTCGCAAGCAACTTTTGAAGGAAGTACTGTCCTTATCCCTACTTAACCAATGGGGAAGTTGAGGCAGAGAGGGTGAATAACTTGCTCAAGGTCACACAGCTGGTAAGTGGCAGAGTTGGATTGAACCCACACAGACTGGCTCCAGCACCAGCCTTCCACCCCTGTACCCGAAAATAGGCTTTGTGGAACTCTCTCCCCTCTAAGACAGTGGAGCCTGTGACGTCTCAGGGAGAATAGGCCCCAGAATCAGAAGGGCAATGGGGGTTCCCCATGGAGAGAGAAGGGAGAGCAGGGGTCTAGCGAGTCCCATTAGGTAGTCTTATTAGCACCCCGTCCTTAGGGAGAGCCTCAGGGACCCTGTGGGCTGGATTTGTGCTTCATGTTCACGCCACTGAAACCCCAAATGGGAGCAGGTGTGCCAGCCCTCAGGTAATGAACTTGAGCGATTCCATTTAGAAGGAAATCTGCTGGGAGTGTCTGGAAATCAGACTCTCCTGCCTTTCACCCCTATTCCTCCCTCCAGCTTGAAGATAGACAGGTAGGTAGGTACATAGATAACGTGTAGAGAGAGAGAGAGATAGAGAGAGAGATAATGGGTGGATAGATGAACAATAGTGGAAAGAAAAGGCTTTTGCCTAGGATTACTTAAGGAAACACTTAATGAAAAAATTCCAAATCTGTTCCCAGGATCTGGTGGTCTAAGTGCTTCCTGATTTGGGTTTTTCTTCTTTCTTCAAGCTATAGTGTGAATTCAGATATTACTGAGGCATCTGTGTATTAAGTTAACCTAATCTATACATTTTTAAAGTGAATTTTATTATGACATACAGAAAAGAGCCCAGGTCACACCTCTAGAGCCCAGTGAATTTTCCACAGGTGAACCCACCTGTGTGATCAGCACCCAGAAGCTGATCATCACCAGCACCCACCAGATCTTATGCCCCCTCCATCACTGTCCCCAAAGGACAGCCAACAGCTCTGCAGCAGCAGCAGGAGGCTGGGAAGAGGAAAGGGACCTTTTGCCAGAAGATGTGGACTAGATTCTGCTCCCTGAAAGCCGGACTCAGGGGAGTAGGAGCAGGGCAGAGGCAGCTCCTCCTGGAGAAAGGGCAGCCTGGAGAGGATCGCGCATTCCATAGTGGGGTTTGCTCTCACAGGAGCTCAGTGGCAGTCCCTACTGGTGAAGTGTGGTATTGCACAGAGGGAGAAAGGCACTGAATTGCCCATGGGGACAAACCTTCCCCAAGCGTGGGACCTTTCTGTGGTTAAGACAGGACAGAGAAAATAGCAGAGAAATTAAGACAGTTGAGAAAGTATGCAAAGCTCTGCCCTCATAAAGCATCCTCCTGGAGGGGAGTAGCCGTCACACATTCTCCCTCCTGGAAAAATTTCCTGTTCAATCCTGTCTGTTGATCTGTATGAACCAATATCTGGTTTTATCAGCGTAGTGGGTGAGAATATAGGATTGCCATAAACAGATTCACTTGACTATTAACTCTTGACTGTCCTATAAAGTGGAGTATGTGATTTCCCAGCCTTGACTTTGCTCCTTCATGCCTTACTTGAAATCGGGCCGCAGGTGTGCCTTTTTGCTTCCACTTCTAAGTTTTAACTTCAAAGTAATTAAGTATCTCTAGTAATTCCCAGGAGCAGAGCAGTATAAATGTCTTGTGTATGTGTGTGTAGTCATTTTTTATTTTTATTTTTTTAAAGATTTATGTATGCATACAAGAACTGGGGTACAGGCCAGAGGTGGGAGGTGGGTAGGAGGAGCTAAAGAGACAGAGTGGGGAGTAGAACAGGCAGATCTACTGAAATACACTGCTGAGGGGAGCAGAGGCCAAGGCAGGAGAGATCTGCTGCGCCATGTGGGTTGCTCCCTGGCCAACGGGGGATCCAAGTCGTGCTGTAGTGACTGGCAATAGCTTGATAGCTTTCTTTAACCCCTGCACCACCAGGGAGGTCCTGTAGTCATTTCTTAAATACACCTGTTTAAAGAGAGCTCCTGGGGCTTCCCCTGGTGGCGCAGCGGTTGAGCGCTGGGCTGGGAAGCTGCCCACAGCCTCTGCAGCACCGGTTCAATCCCTGGCCGCCAAGTGAGGGTCCCACATGGCCGCAGACCTCTCCTGTCACCCGCTGCTCCCCTCAGCAGTGCACTTCGTCAGTCTGCCTGCTCTGCTCTCCCCTCTGGCTCTGGTGAATTCTCTCACCTTCCTGCGTTTCTGACTGTACCCAGTGCTTGTATAAATAAACAAAATAAATCTTAAAGAAAAAAAAAAAAAGAGAGCTCCTGACCCATTTCTCCCACACATTTTTCGGGGCATTTACTCATTCGCTGGGCACAAGTGTCCCCACCGTGCTACAGTAGTGACAGGGAGACGCATTCTCTGCCCTCCTGGAGCTGGCTGTGTCCAGGGGAGGGGCAGACAGGCAGTAAGCAAGGAAATAAATCAGCAAGTGAGAAGTGTGATAAAGGCTATTTTAAAAAATGAAACTGGACAGTGATTTTATCTCTGGGAAGAGGCACAGACAAGGTCTAATTTAGACAAGGTGTTTGGAAAGTTGGAGTGCTTTATAATTGTTGACAAACCCTGTTGGTTGATGGTGGTGTTGAGCTCTGTATCCTACAGATTGTCTGGTTATTCTATCAACTGAGAGAGGGGTGTCGAAGTCTCCATATAAAATTGTGGATTAGTCTGTTTCTCCTTTCAGTTCTGCCAGTTTTTGATTCCCATATTTTCAGCTCTTTTGTTTGATGGAAACACATTTAGGTGCAGTGTCTTCTTAATGAATTAACCCTTTTATCATTGTATAATGCCCCTCTGTTTCTGCTAATTTTCTTTCCTTTGAAGTCTGCTTTATCAAATATTTATATAGCCACTACTGCTTTCCTTTGATTAATATTTGCATATTTCCCCATCCTTTCACTTTTAATTTACCTATTCACTATATAGAGAGAGAGAAAGAGAGAAGTGAGTTTCTTATAAACAGCTTTTCATCCATTCTGCCAAATTCTGTCTTTTAATTAGTATATTTAGACCTTTTCTATTTTGTTTAATGATACTTGAGGACTTGCATCTGTCGTATTATTTTTTGTTTCCTGTTTGGTCTCTCTGCCTGTTCTATTTATTTTTTCCTGTGGACTATTTGAACATTTTTCATTGCATCTTTCTTTCTCTTTAGTGTTTTTTTAAAAGATTTATTTATTTATACATACAAGAACTGGGGTACAGGCCAGAGGTGTGAGGGTGAGAGGATTCACCAGAGACAGAGTGGGGAACAAAACAGGCAGATCTACTGAAATACACTGCTTAGGGGTACAGTGGGCAAGACAGGAGAGGTCTGCTGCACCATGTGGGTAGCTCCCTGGGGATTGAACTCATGCTGCAGTGGCTGCAGTGAGCTTCATAGGTTGCGTTTTAACCCCTTGCACCACCAGAGAGGTCCCCTCTTTAGTATTTTTGAACATATCTCTGTGTATAGCTGTTTTAGTGGATGCCCAACTTCAGTCTGCCAGTGTCATCATTTTACCAGCTCAAGTGAAGTTAGAAAGTTTACCTCACTTTACGACCCTATCCTTGCCCCCACTTACAACATAAGTATCTTCCAGTATTTTACGTATATACATTTAGAACCACATCAGACAGCCTTACAGTTTTTTGTATCAAACATAATTAGAAACTCAAGAGAAATAAGAAAGCTTATTATGTTTACCCATCATTTTTTAAAAGAAAGAACTATGTTCTTTTTTAAAATCAACTTACCTTCCCTTAATGTATTTAGAAAGGAAACATTCTATTACCACCATAGATAGAATGGAAGTCTTCATATCAAAATACACGGGTGACTACAGCATTTTCAAGTTCATTGTGTGTTCAGTTTAATCTTGGTCACAACTCCAGGGGTGTGCATGACAGGATCAGACTTTACACTGGCCTCGTTTCTCATCCCAGGGGCGGGCATAGAAACCCTTCCAGTACTGCTCCAGCACCTTCTTGATTCTGAGATGCAATATTTTTCCCTTTTAACATTTCTCAGTTTGAAATCAATTTTTAAATGGACATGTCTGATTAATGCAGTGAGGTTTTTTCTCTTCGTAAAAACTGCCATTAATTGCCTGACACTTTAGAATCTAAAAAATATAAGGTTACGGTTGAACTACAAGAAATTGCTGGTTTGGGAGTTAAAACATCATCACATATCAGCAATTTCTTTTAACTCAACCTAATAGTATATTGTGCATTATCTTTTTTAGCTCTCATAGAATCCTCACCAGGGAGGTATTTTTAATCCACTTTGGAAGAGGCCCAGAGAAGCTGAGTAACTTTCTTAAAGTCACAGCTACTCAGTGAGGAGCCAGGACTGGGACCCAGTGCCACCTGCCCACCCTACAGAAGTCCCACCTGAGCCACCTGCACATGACCTTGAGGTTGATCCCAGCAACCCTCTCCAAGAATAGAACATGTTTCAGTGGCTTGTTACAGCCCCTCGACTCTTAACCTCTCCCTCCGCTAGACCTCGGATCCCTCACTGTATTTACTGATGTCTACTGGCTTTTTAAAGCATTTTATGTGATTGAATCATTAATAAAATTTAGGGGAAGAGTAAGGGGTCAGAGAAGAAGAGAAAAAAGTGTCAGCCCCAAAATGCACAGGAGTCCATCTCAGGAGAGTCTCCGGCAACCTTGATATTGAGAATTATGCTTCCTCCCCCCGTTGTTCTTCTGTCTTCAGAGGCCACATAGTTCTGAGTCTCAAGGACCTGAGTTCACCCCATGTGCACACCCAGCATCTTCTATAAGACACGTGATGGCATTGTCCTTTGAGCACCCAGAGAGCTCCTCCACCTTAGATTTCCTTTTTATATGTTAAGCTGTCTGTATCCTTCTGCTTCAGGGGTACAGTGAAGAAGATTCAAGAATAGTCAGAAGACCTGACATCATTATTTAGCCTAACCCTATATTTTTTAAATCAAAAAAAATGTATTATGTCTATTACAAAAGCAATAGTTGTTTATTGTAGAAAATATAGATAAAAAGAAATGAGAAAACTTTAAATTCCACTTAAAGGTAGTTACTGTATTCTTCCAGATCTTTTCCTATATATATGTATGTCATTCCAAATATATATAGGCTTTATTTCCAAAAATACATGGTTACAAACTGTGTTGTAACCTACTTTAAAAAAAAATATATTATAAACATCTTTCTATCTGGCCCCCTTTTTAACCCCCATTTTCAACCCCCTTCTTCCAATAAAAAGCATCAAAATGCTGCGATTTTTTTGTGGGTTTCCCTTCTGCAGAGCAGCAGTGGAAGGGAGATTGACTAGCCCCAGTGGCCCAGAAAGGAAAAATGTGAAGGTTGGGGGGGTCCCTCAGAAAGGGGTTCCTTTATTCCTGGGGAGTCTATAGTTTTGCATCACAGAACCAGTCCCCCTTCCCTTTTTTTTTCTTTTTTTTTTGAGAAAGTGATTCCGCTGAGCACTCCTGGATCCGGAAATGCCTCAGCACCAGAATCAAATTCCTAAGAAAGCTAAATCAGGAGCACTTGTGTCTTAGTAATGGAGAGCCTGGTCACAGGATCAAAAGGACTTCCTGTTGCTATTTGCAAGATAATTAGTTGCTTCCAGAATTTTGGAGTATTGATAAACGTATAAGTAGGACAAAAATTTAGTTTCCATTCTATGAGCTACAGTCATTAGTAAATGATTAGGGCAGGAGAGAAGCACTTTAATTACATATTAAGCATGGATCCACAAACGTGCTAGAAATAGAGGATGAGCATTGTAAGCGGGCCCAGGGCCTGCTAGGCCCAACTGCACTGTGACATCCGGGGAATTTCCACTGGGACCTGGAATGAGTCTGTGTGCTCCTCGGACCTGGGGAGACAGGACCATCACAGCCCCCTGCAAGGTGAGCTGCTTTCTTCCTTGCAGAATGAAGTGATCAGCCAGCAGCTATGTGTCATCTTCACTCACTGCTACGGGCCCTACCCCATCCCCAAGCTCACGGAGATCAAGCGGAAACAGACCTCTCGCCTGGGTGAGTGCTGCTGCAGGCTCTGGCCTGTCTTGGCTGTTGCTTTGTGAGTCCAGGACCAGAGGAACCAAAAGCCCTCTGGGAAGCGGGGAGAAGGGATGGAGTTGGAGGGCAACCAACAGGCTAGATAGAAACAGGAGTCGGACAGGTGAAAGTCGGGTTCTCTGATGTGTGATAAAAATCTGCAGACTACACCCCAGGACTGTCTCCTGCAGACAGATATGGAGCATCGGAGCACCTAAACTGTGCCTCCCTCAGGCAGACCCTGAAAGAAAGCTAAGCTGTGTTTGGCAGCTCTAGCTCTGATTGCCCCCCGAAAGAGCTCTAGCCCAGATTGCCCCCCACTGCAGGGGGCAGTGACAGGCCAGCTGTGTCCCCCTGCAAGGAACTAGGAGAGTCGAGTTAGTGGACACACACACACACACGTGCGGGCATGCACTGAAGACATACCTGAGCTGAAGAAATCGGACACTCTGCCATCCCACAAGTATAGAAATGCTCACTTCTTGCTCTTCTTGAATACTTGAATTGAGCTGCCAAGCCCTTGACCTACCTTGCTGGCTCAGGTCACTCTCGGGCCCCCCAAAAGGGTGGGGGCAGCAAGACTCATCCCTTGTCATAGCTGAGGACCCCCAGGCCATGCACAGCCTGCCGTGTCTAGGCTGGAACATGCACTGGGGTTTCCCAAAACTGTTATTCCATCCTTCTGCAGTCCCAGCTTCTGGAATTTTCTAGCCTTTCCTTCAGGCATTGGCTCTCTTTGGAGGATCCTGGGGCTGCTGCAGTCTGGTTGATGGGCCTAGAAAAAAGGCAGAGAAATATTCGACTGCCTTGAAGATTGAAACCTGACCTGTCTCCAGGGCCTTCCTCGCTCCTGGGGAGTTATAAAATATTAAAGATAAGGATTCATTTTCCTTAGTTTGGGAAAGTTTCCTGTTTCCTTTTCCTATAAAATCTGGGAAACATTTGAAAAATGGAAGCATCTGAAAATACTCTAGCAAAACCACTCCTTCAGAAACAGGTGAATAGTTTAAATTACTGAAAAGGCTGATTCATGTGACCATTTTAAGGTATTTTTGTTCCTGTCACAAAGCTTGGTCATTTAAAAGGCAACTTTTTGCTAAAATGAAAACTTTAGCCATTGAGTCCAAGGTGATCTTTCTGTACACCCATTCCCATAGCCAGGCCAGGGTCTGCCCAAACCACAAGTGTTTCCACTTGGTAGAAAACTCGTGCTAATTAATAAGTCGTTGGTGCAGTGTATTCTAAAGACCAACCAAGTTAGCAGGCTTTACAGTCCCAGGACTGAGCAGTAACCCGACAGCCAGGAGTTTCACCAGACACCTTGTCAGAGCAAACATCTGAGGGAGTTTCAGTGGCGCAGTATAAAATCTGCCTTCTGGTGCTATGGAAGTGGTCCCTGTCTCCCAGGACTGAGTGAGTCTACACTGTCAGTGCCAGCTGGCCCAGTGCCGGGCACATCCTCAGTCCTCCCTAAGCACTAGCCTTGTCTTCTCTGAGGTTACCGGAGACGCGGGCAGGAGACTGGCATATTTGCCACTGGCCCCACGAGAGCAGAGCTTGGATTTTGAATCACCTGGAGCTCAGCAGCCAGGGGCAGCCTGCCTGCACCACTGCCTTTAGCGGCCAGGGCCCTGAGCCCCAGGAGGAGCCAGGGCGGAGTGGCTGCACTTGGGAGGCAAATTTACCTCACACCTGCAAGTCATCTGAACTAAGGTACTGGATGAGTTGTCCATGAGAAATGCCACTTTTTTTGTGTGTGTGTGGGACCCTCGCCGGTGGCCGGGGATCGAACTGGCACTGCAGAGGCTGCGGGAGGCCCGAGAAATGCCACTTTTAATCACAAATCAGTGATGAAGATTTCCTATAAAATCCTGTGAAGCTGTAACAGTGACTTGAGTCCCTGCACGGATTCTGTCTTGTTTGGTCACTGTCTCACCAGAGAGTTTATTACCTGGCTTCCCTGTCAGCTCCTGTTGGCACTTTTCAAAAGAAAAATCCAGACTTACCCCTTCTCTCCATTAAAGTGGCCCTTTCTCCCTCCCCTCTTCTAGATCCTCATTTCCTTAACAATAAAGAAATGTCTGATGTTACCTTTCTGGTGGAAGGAAGACCGTTTTATGCTCACAAAGTGCTGTTATTTACAGCCTCTCCAAGGTACGTACCGTCAGCGTTGAGAGCAGCTGAGTTACAGTTGCGGCTGTGGCTATTACTCTCCTTTGAATCTCAGTGTCTTCCCTGGACTGGCAGATTATCTTCTCAAAATCAGGGATTCGAGAATACAGGGCATTAGTACACCCGTGTTCAGAGCCGCATTATTCACAAAGACAAAGGTGGGCACAGCCAGGTGTCCGCCGTGGAGGGATGGATGGACTCGGTGCGGCCTGTACATAGATCATCCCCCTTAAGACAAGGCAGACTACAGGGCACATGAAGCTTAGATACATTATGTGGCATGAAATAAGCCAGTCACAGAAAGACAAATGCACAAATGCCATTGGATGCCCCTTGCCTGAGATGCCTAGAATGGCCACCTCATTGATTCAGAAGTGTCAGGTGACGCTATTGTAAGGTTCAGACAGGTTTTAACTTCAGGTTGGATTAAGATTTCATGTGGGGAGGGGGGTTAGATGCAGAACCTCTGGGCCTGTCGCTGGCGGCCTTCAGAATGGACGAGATACAATGCATAGCCTGTTTCCCTCATCAGAGCACTGAGTCTCTTGCCAGCGGCGGATGCATTTGTGAGTCTCTGTGTTCTTGCTCAGGTTCAAAGCGCTCCTCTCCAGCAAACCGACAAACGACAGCACCTGCATCGAGATCGGCTATGTGAAGTACCCCATCTTCCAGGTGAGCCCGCTGCCGCCGGACCCTGTGGGTTAGTCCCTGCGCCCACCTCTCCCCGCCTCACTTTGCCCTCCCACTGACCACCCAGTCATCCTGCAGCATTGAATGAGCACCTGCTGTGTGCCTGCGACAGTGCTGGATGTGGGGAACCTGGATAAAGGACAGTCCTCTCCTGGGAACTCATGGTCCAGAGTGGGGGTCACTGAACAATCAATTCTAATATGGGGGGGGGTGTACATAACAGAGGGGACTGGGGAAGACCCCCCTGGATGAAGCATTTTGAACTGAAATACTGAAGACTGAGAAGTTGGTGAGCCAGAGGGAGGGTTGGGGCTTAACAAAAAGGGGTTGGAAATTTTCCGGGGGAGAAGAGCAGGGAAGAAGTCCCAGAACTGCAGTTGAGTGTGATCAGGAATAGGTGGGCATTAGGGAGCTGGTGTCAGTTTCACTTTGGCCTGAACCTAATAAACCAAATGCAACTAGGAAAGGAAGTTCGCTTTGTCCGAGGCCAGATGATGCCGCCACGACACCTTCCATTTGGGGGGAGTTGACCCCGTCAACGACAGGTGTGGCACAGCACAGCGGGGCACAGTGGCTCTCTCCCCTGTCCTTCTTCCTTCATGCCTGGCTCACAGACCCCGCAGTGACAGTCACTAGAAGCTCGCACCCCTCGCCAGCTTTGGGCTGGCTTTTCTTCTGCTCCCACCTGGAGCCAACCCCTGCTAGTGTGCCAGTCTCCATACGGGGCAGGCCTGCAAGGAGCCGGGGTCACGCAGTGCTGCCCTCCCGTTGGCCAGGGTCAGTCAGCTGCTGTGGGAGTCCAGGGGGTAGAGGATAGAGGATTCAGAAAGGAATCTTGTTTCTCCTGTGTCAATCCCAGAAGAAAGCCCTGGGAAGGGTACGCAGGTGAGGAAGACTCTGTCCTGTCCTTGGGACTCATCCTTCACGCGGCTGAGACCGTTCAGAAAAGCAGGAGGCCGGGCTGGCAGAGACCGGGGTTGGGGGCAGGCTCCCAATCTGAACTCTGAGGCCAGAGCTGTGTCCTATCTAAACAGATATACCCCACCCCACCCCTCGGCACCCCCCTCCCCTTCAGCATCACTGTCCCTCAGGTGACCTTGGACAAGTGGCTCAGGGAGAGAGGGCATTCCAGGCGGAGGACCAGCATAAACAAAGGCACAGAATGGACAATCACAGGGTGTGCTTGAGGGAAAGTGATTATTGGACCATCTGGCTGGGTCTTGGGTATGTTGGTGACCAAGAAAATGCCTTCAGCTCTCATAGCATGGGCCATGTGGGGGGAAGGCAAGCCAAGAGTGGTTTGTTCCACCATTAACCCTGGGCTCCCAGATCTTGCTGGTCAGAGGTTGCCAGAAGAGCAAGATGTGCTCACACTGGCCCCTGAATTTATGGCACCTGAATTTCCACCACTAGAGATGTGTTCCTTTGGTTATGATTTAAACTTCAAAGTAAAAAATCTTTCCCGAACAACTGTGAGCAAGACACTCTTCCCTAAGCATCATTATCCCCATTTTTTAACAAGTGACTCATTAACACCTATGTGGGTTCTCGTGCTGATCAACAAATAGAACATGAGAAACCATCCAACTCGGCACCTGGTGCTTCATGGCCATTTTCAAGTGGGTTGTTGTTTTCCTAAGCGGTAACTGAGACGCCGCCACAAGACCTCCCTGCTCAGCACAGACCCAGTAAAATCAGTTCCTTTGGACTAAGGGTTGGGGAAAGGGTGACAAAAGTTTTCAAAGACAAAGCCAGCCTGGGTGAGCTCTCCCACTGGGGTGGGGGTAGCAGAGAGGAGGCTGGACCCCAAGGTGGGCCTAGAGAGTTGCACACCCTCAGTGCCTTTGCCCCCACTTTCCAGCCCCTCAGCACATTTTCTACTCAGCAAAGTGGCCTCAGCCACTGTTGGGTTTGGAAGTCTCCATAGAACTGCTGTCTCGCTTCAGACTTGGGGTGGGGAGAAGGGTGAAGAGCCTTTGTGGAGCTGCAGCTGTGAATGAGGCACTGACCTTGGCTTGCAGGTGGTTACCTGGATCGTTCTTCACACTTTTATCCTTGAAGAAGCCAGGGCTTGGAGAACACCCTTTCTAAATGGGAATAATGGTAATAACAAGCCCTAGTTCTTGAGTGCAAGCTGGGTAAAAGGCTTGAAACCTTGAAATAGGTCTCAGTCTCAGCTGCAAGTTGGGAGATTTGAAGATTCCCAGGGTCCAGGACATAAATCAGAGTTGGAGTGTGGCTGAGGCCGCAGGATGTGAGGTCACCTCCCTCGCCCCATTATCCAGCCAGCAGCTGAGGAGACTCCTTACAGAGGTTCTCAAACATCAGCGGACCTCAGAATCCCCTGGGACAGGGGCGGGAGGATGAAAATGTGCTTGTTAAGACACAGAAAACTTGTTAAATTCCGATTCCAGGGCTCCCATCCCAGAGTTCCTCATTCTGCAGGCCTAGGGTAGGGCCTGAGAATTTCTATTTCTGGCAAGAACCCAGGGGAGCTCATGCCATCCTTCCAGCGCCCCACAAACTGTCTCTCACCTTACCAACAGGGCAGGGACTCAGGTGAAAAAGTGGTCCAGGCCTCTGCTGAGGTGCAGACCCAGGCCTGACTGACCCCCAGACCTAATCACCTTCCCTGCTGTGGGGACTAGATCTTCCCTAAGAATCACCCAGCCCTGATGAAAGAGCCTTAGGCCAAAGGGCCAGCTGGGAGCCTGAGCTAGAAGCTGCAAAAGGCACATTCCCACCCAGCTCAGAGGGCTCGTGAAGGGGCACTTACCGCCTGAGCCTGGGACGAATCCTGGAGGTTCCTGTAATAAGAACCGACTTATCGAAGGCACTCAATAAATGTTTGCTGGGCGGACCCGCTGAACAAGGGCCCAGCACAGCAAAGGGCGCCTCGCAGGAATCCCAGGCCTGTAATTGCTTCTGACTGGGGAAGGTTTCTGGCCACATTAGCCTCAAGTTACTGTAATGGGAAGGGAGGATTTAGCAGGCCCTCGGGACTTTCCCTTGTGCCCGCCCCTTCCCCATAAACGAAGCAAAGCCTCATTTGCGGCTTGAAATAGGCCAAGTAGGGCTGAATTTGACCCAGAAGGAGGCTCCCAGGGGCCTGTTCACTTCACTTCCATGCTGACAGAAGAATTTTCGTAAATGAGGCTGCCTCGAGTTTCCTCCCCCCACGACTGTTTAACATCACACGCGGGCGAGAGCCGGACGCAGCTGAGGCTGCACCTGGCAGCGGGGCCTCCACGAGGCTGTGGACGCCATTTAAATCCCTGCTTCATGCAGGCTGGCAGCTGCCAAGGAAAACAACTCCATAAACAGGCCCTGCGGCCTAATAAAGGTCTGTTTCGCCCTCTTGCAGAAAAGGCATGCTTTGGCAGTGTCGGAAGGTGGCACGGGACAGCCCAATTTAAATTCCATTAGCCCCGGGATCTCCATCCATTAAGGAGAGCAGTGTGTAGAGTGGAGCACCCGATCCTGAATAAATGAGATAACGGGTTAGAGAAGTGCTTTGTAAATGCAGAGGCCCCGGGTTTCGGGCAGTTGTTATTATGACTCTTATTGTTATTATCATCAGTTTAGCCTTTATCAAAGAACGGTGCCAGGGAATAAATAGATTTTAATAAGGCTAATATCCCCACATTCGCTGATGCGATATTTTAGACACTGATGGCCCTGCAGGGTGAGGGAAGGGAGGGTGAACAGCGCTCTTATCATTTCACACCACCTCCGCCCCACCATGCACGCACCACCATCTCTGAGACAGGGAGGTGGTCACCAGAGCCCAGTCCCTCCGTGTGAGGCTCAAACACGAATGAGGGGGAAGAGGGGTGTAGAGGGAGGAATGGCCACTGAGCAGGTTTTCTTTGATCCCGTGCAGACCGGGTAAAGGAGTCAGAGTCTTCAGTGGGTTTTTGCAGGTCTTTTATTGGGGTTCACCAGGCATATGGCAGGCAGGGGTGCTGGGGGGCTGGGAGGCTGGCAGTCCTCCCAACCCCCAGCAAAACCTCACTATCTGGGCTCTCCGGCCTTCTCTCGGCTTCTACTGCTGCTGCTGGCGTCCCTGTGATGCCACCCTTAAAAGCCCAGTCTCAGCCCAGGTGAATCCCGTCTACCTATGCCCACACCCTACTCCAGGTGCCTGCCATCAGGCATGCATTCAGGACCGCAAGGATCCATCATCTATCCTGATGGCAGGAGAGCAGAAAAGCCTGACATTTTTCCTTACCCTCCAAGGGGTCATATTTCTGTTGAAAATGCCCTTGCTGCATGCAGATGCTGTGCTCAGTGCCGGGAACACAAGGGCCCAGCCCTGATGGGGATAATGCTACAGCCCTGGATCGTGGACTGCCTGGCACTGGCAGAATTGAGCAGATCTGCAGTGGCTTCACAGAGGTGGTGACCACTGGGCTACATCCTATAAGAGGGGGCAAAGTTCAACAAGTGGGGGAGAAGGAGAGAGCAGCCAAGCAGAAAGAACAGCATGGGTGAAAGCATGGGACTAAAACGGTGGTGGGTTCTGATACAGCAAGTGTTTGGGAGTGGTCAGAGTATAAAAGGCAGATATTATCAAGTTGAGGAGGAGAGAAGGGCTGAGTGGCAGATGAGAGCTGAAAAATTAAAGTGAACCATTTATAGCCACAGGAATCATAAATAGCCCAAAAGTGGAAACAACCCAAATGTCCATCAGCTGATGACTTGATACACAAAATCTGGTTCAGGAATACAAAGGGATATTGTCCAGAATGATGTGGTGATAAATGTGACAACAGGGATGAAAGCCCGACAATATCACACTAGGTGAAAGAGACCAGGCACAAAAAGACACACATGACTCCATTTATATGAAATAAATAGAACAGGCCAATCCACAGTAGGGTCAGGGACTGCTGTAAGAGGAATTGGGGGAAATATTAGGAAATTAGGTTGGGGTAACCTCATGAATATGCTAAGAACCACTGAACCATACACTTTAAACAGATGCATTTTGTTACATGAAATCTCAAAGCTGGAAACAATATTTTTTAAAAAGATTAAATACACACACACACACACACGAAGTCAATCAATCACTAAGTGTCTTGAGTGACCCGAGTAAGAAAGCAGGAGCTCAGCAGAATCACTGCTGGAAAAGATTTTCCAACCTCAGTGAAAGTTAAAGAGCTGAAGTGTATTGAGTCTGGCTGTGTGCCTGGCCCCTGGAGGCCTGTTACATCTGTCCATTTAATCCTCATCCCAACTCCATTAAGTAGTAGTTATTGGAGTCCCCATCTCACAGAAGATGAAACTGAGGCACAGAGAGCCTAACCTAATTCAGGTCACCCAGCCCATCTACATATTTCATTTAGGGGTGGGGCTGCTAATTCTAACGCATCCATAGGCCTCATTCTATTTAATGGACACTGGTTTGCAAAGCTCTGGGTCTCTGCACATCGTTCAGGCCTCCTGAGTGATGTGAACAAAGAACAGCCAGGCTTGTACCTTCCATACCATCACGAGAGGTTGAAGCCCTGGGTGTCTAATGGCTTCATCTTGGACCTTGTCATGTTGTGAGGAGAAGCAGGTGTTCCCTGGGAACCCAGTGCTGCCCCCAGGACTGAAGCAAGAAACTTCGGCTCACACTAGGCCACATTTCCAGGAGAAATGGCCTTTGGTGTAGACTCTTTAAGCCGCACCGCGTGGGCAGCTCTGGATGGGGTGGAGGTGGGGAAATAGTTGTCATCCTCAAGTGCGGGCCACCACCCTGGGAAGCAGAGCTTAGGACTGTTACATTGGACCTAGGGGTGAACTTGGGAGCCAGGAGACCACAGGAAAACAGATTCCAGAGAACTAGAAGGAAAATATCCAACCAAGAAAACTGTTCTCAATGGGCTTCTCTTGTGAGGCAGGGCGGTCTCGGATATGGCCGGGTCATGCAGGAGCAAGACCACTACGAGCGGGTGTGAGGGGCTCAGGAGGTACGCAGGTGACTGTGCCCAGGTGTGTGGACACTCGCTCACTGTGTCCTTTCTTGCAGCTGGTCATGCAGTATCTCTACTACGGTGGCCCCGAGTCACTTCTCATCAAAAACAACGAGATCATGGAGGTAAGGAAGCTGGTGCATCGTTGCAAGCAAGCACCTGGAAGCCCAGGTCACTGACACGCATGGGCAGCACCTGGGGGTCCTGGATTGGGTTTTTATTTGAATGCAGGTTTGGGGTCCTGCCTGCCTCCTTAAACATTCCAAGCAGGAGGCCTGTGGAGGAAGGAAGGAAGTCTGGTGTGCTGGGTGGGCTAACCCAAACCCAACAACTTGGTAAAACCCAATTCCTGCTGGTTTGGGGGAGTAAAGTCAATTTACAGAAGAGACTAGCATTAGCTCTAGGCACAGCTACGGAGGCACTTTCCTGGCCATTTCATCTCTGTCATTTGTAAAGGAATTACGTCCTGCAAGCAGTCCTTATACCACCATGTGTCCTTTGATGGAGAAGCAGCAAGCTTCTCTACAGAGCTCTCCTGGCTTCATCGGGGTGACCATCCCCCATGATTCAGCCTCTCCTCCCCCCACAACCCCCGAACACCCCACCCCTCGTCTCAGGACCTTGTTTCTACTCCTGTCTATGCAAAGCCAAGCTTTCCCCTGCTCCTTCCTAGAAGTAGAGCTCTTGTTAGTTTCTTACTTGGGTTTGGCTTTGGACCTAAAGCCGAAATCATTCTCATAACCTGAGCTGGCAGCCCTTTCAGGTGGCAGAGGCCCAGGTGCCTGGCTGATGGAGATGTCATGGCACCATCATTCAAGAGGCAGCCCTCTATGGTAGTTGTAACAGGGACGAGATCTGGTTTACATCCAAACTCTGCCTATGCCGAGCTGTGTGATCTTAGACAAGTTACATGACCTCTCTGAGCCTTAGTCATCTCGTCAGTAAAAGAGGGATAATAATATCTACTTCATTGGGTTCTGAAGATTTTGCAAGCCTTCTAAGGTGCTTAGAACAGTGCCTGGCATGGAGTGCCAGAAGGGTTATGCATTCAGTACATGGCCCCTTTATCCTTACTCCTTACTGACACCTTCCTGGGTGCCTCCCACCACCACCCCAAATTGCTTTCGTCTCTGTGGACCACTACTCTGACTCTGCTCCTTGACCTCCTTGACCTCAGGACCAAGATGCAGTCTGAAGATGTGGGCTCCTCTATAAACATTTTTTTTTATTATTTTAAGCCAAAATAATGTGCATTTAAATCATACAATACAGAAGGCTTACCATAGAAAGCAGCTTACCTAGCCCCACCCACTCCCTCTCTCTTTCCCCAAAGGCAGTCAGTCCCCTTGAACTCTTCCTTCTGCTCCCCAAAGCCTGTAGCTCTCCCTGCATGTATGTTCAGCATCTCCACAGCCAGGCATCATGCTCAGAGAAGGGACCGGGGAGGGCAGCCCAGCCAAGATCCTCATTTTACAGATGCCAGTGGCTGGCTGGTGTGGGACCAGTCTCAGGGCCAGGACACAGCAGTGAAGCAAGTGGACTGAGAGCCCTACCCTGTCCCCACCACACCCCGGTGAGGGTGACAGGCATGACGTCATGTCTGGTGTGAGAAGACAGGACAAGGGGTCAGGTGGAGATGGAGGGAGGCGACCTGAGGTAGGGTGGTCCGGGGACTTCTCTGAGAGGTGACGTGTGGAGAGAGGCCTCACCTCTGGGCGAGCGGAGGACGCAGGCCACACCCACATCTATCTCGTTCAATGGCTACGTCCTGGTTTCTGGAAGCAGCCATTGTAGGCTTTTTGTCTTGACCTGCTGTGATGGATGTGGATCTGGTTCACCTTGACCTCACCCCTCACTATCCTCCCCCACAGGACAGTTCGATCCCTGTCTCGGTCCGTGAATGTTGTTACCTTTGCGCCTTCAGCTGGGGACGCCACTGCCAGAGATGAGGCTTTTTCTCACCACCCTCAGTCCTTTTTACCTCCCAACCTCTAACAGCTGTCTTTCTGCTTTTTAGCTTCTGTCTGCTGCTAAGTTTTTCCAGCTGGAGGCGTTGCAGCGACACTGTGAGATCATCTGTGCAAAGAGCATCAACACCGACAACTGCGTGGATATTTACAACCACGCCAAGGTAGCCGACCCCACCTGCACCTGCTCCTTTCCTGCCCACACACCCGAGTCGTGGCAGAGCCTGCCGCTCTCTGCTTCCTGCCCTAGACAAGATGCCTGTCCCTTCAGCCCTTCCCTCCACAGTACGGCGAAAGCAGGAGCCCAGACATTGCCAGACCAGGGTCGTTCCCAAATCGTGCTTCTCTGCACTCGACTCAGCAGGCCCAGGGTGGAGGGGGGACCTCGGGTCTGCAGCCTAACAGGCTCTGGGTGAGGCCTTTGCCGCTGGCCTCGGTCACCTCAGGAGCAAGAGAGTCTGGTTCTCCAAGTGTGGTTTCCAGCCCAGCAGCAGTCACGTCTTCAGGGAACTTGTTGGAAGTGTACGTTCCTAGGGTCCCACCTCAGAAGACCTACTGTGTCAGAAACTGGAGAGGGAGGCAACCATCTATGGTGAGATGATTCTGGTCCAGTTTCGAGGGTGAGAATCACTATTCTAGAACTGGGGTCCCAGTGCTGCCTGCAGATTAGAGTCACCTGAGCACTCGGAATCCTCAGGTCCCGGACCTCTCACTGACAAAGCAAATCAGCCTCTGCTAAAAGGCCTCACTCAGTGCTTGCCAGGGGCTCTGGGATGTGGCCAGGGTTGGAGGCAGGTTGTCGGCCCTGGAAGGAATTAGTCCACTAGTCATATGGGCCTAACCCTGAGTCCTAATCCAAAGATTAGGAGATGGGAGATTTCTGAATGTTTCCTTTGCCACCTCCCCCCCAAAGACCACAGCAGGGGACCCAGGACTCTGCTTGACCTGCTCCCCAGTGAAGGTGGTGAGTTCAGCCCAAAGGCCAGTCATCACTGCATTCTCAGGAGCCACTGATTTTATCCAATTCGTTTCACAAGTGGGTATAGCAAGACCCAGAGAATTAAAATCATCTGGCCAGATGCCATTTCATTTTGTTTCGTGTGCTCAGGACAGGGGATTAACATTTGCTAAGAAGGAACGATGAAATGAGCTGAGATCTGGAATTAATTTACAACAAACAAAACTTTGGTGTCCACTTGTGACGGTGGACTTCCCAGGGCAATTTCAGCATCCATGGCTGAAGGGGCAGAGGCCTTAAGACTATCAGACTCTCTTCCTGGGTAGAGAGTCCCTTGGGTGCTTTTCTGCACAGTAATCAGCTTAAGATTGAAAAAAAAAATTCAGTACACACGCCTTGTACGTCCACAGCTCTGTAGAGTGACAACCGATGTGAATAATGCTCTTTGCTCATTATGAGAAATCAGATTGCACTGGCGATGTTATGTCGTATGCCAATATCCAGGAGTCCTTTTAATGTACAAGCACCTGTGCTGAAAACCTTGTTGCATCACCCCTTGCAATCCTCACCACCACCCTTTTAGGTAAATGCTATCATTAGTCCCTGGTCGTAATAAGGAACTGAGGCACAGAGAGGTAAAGTAACTTGCTTAAGGTCACGCAGCTGTTACTTGGATCAGTGTATATGGTAAAATATCATAACATGAAATTTACCACGTTCACCATTTCTAAGTCCAGAGCTCAGTGGTTCTAAGTGCGCTGTGTAGCCATCACCACCAGCCATTTCCAGAACTGTTCATCTTCCCCAACTGAAACTCTGTCCCCATTAAACTCTAGCTTTCTCTCACTCCAAAGAGCAAGGTGTTAACCCTGTGTTTTACCTGCGCTCATTGGCCTGACCTAATGTTTGAAATATTTGCAATCATCCTTGAGGTTCAAAATTTTTGTGATTGGTGGTTAATAAATCAAAAAGTACAGTCAACTAAATCCTCCCCACCCGCCCCCCCGCCCACCACGCACACACAGTTTTTGAGTTAGGAGACTTTTACCAAAATCTGGCTTCTCAAGACACAGCAAAAAGAATTTTTGTTTTCAATCTTAAGCTGATTACTGTGCAGAAACGCACCCAAGGGACTCTCTACCCAGGAAGAGAGTCTGATAGTCTTAAGGCCTCTGCTCCTTCCCAGCATGGATGCTGAAATTGCCCTGGGAAATCCACCGTCATAAGTGGACTCTGGGCTGCCTGTCGCCTTGGCCCAAAACCTGAATTCCACAACCCACTTTATTCACTCTGGACTCCGTGGCAGCTTCTCTAGTGGATCTCATTATTTAATGACGCAGCACAAAGCAGGTATCAGCCCCCCATCCCTCACCCTCCCGAGGACGAGCTTGTGCTGCAGGCTCAGAGCTCCCGAGACTGAGAACTGTCTCCCATGTGCACCTTTGCAGCCAGCAATTTGCCTTTTCCAAACACCAGCCTTTCAGGCCACCTCCTGGAGTGCTTCCAAAGCAAATGTCTGCCCATCCTGATATTTGCACAGAGCACAGAGCAGTACCCGCCACCCCCTGCCCTCTCTATGCGCCGCTTCCCCTGTGCAGCAGCTAATGACCGCGTGCCATGTGGATTCTATTAGTGACAGCTTGTGCTGCAGATTGAGGCTAGTTTAGTAAAAGAGCCACCAAAAAAAGACACCACTACTTGCCTTGGAACCCCAGGAAATGCAGGCAGTTAGATGCTCATGACCGTATTTCAAATGTCAGCAAGGTCTTTGCAACACAGCCTCTGTGCTGCAGCGACACACTTGAGATAGCCGTGGAGTTTCATACAGATGAGAAGCCCACCCCATAAATACATGGTTTAGCCTCTGTTTTCTTTCCAAGCAAAGCTATCCCCAACTATTCAGGCATGAAAAAGGAGGCCCTGGAGCTTCTGATGAGCCTTCCACGGTTTTTCAACTTGAGAACAAGAACAGGCTGGTTCATCTGATTAAATCTAAGAAAATACAGAAAACTCAGCTGTGCATCATGATGGAAAGCACCCAGATCTGGACACCAGGGGATTCCTTCGTGGCGTTTATGAGAATCCACAATTTGCCAGGAGCTGCATTCATCAGAATATAGCAAGGCAGGCCACATGGTCCCTTCTGTTGGTTTAGTCTGCCAGCACCCATAGCTCTAGATCTGCTCCTCACCTCAATCCTACTGACAGCTTGTGCTACATAAATCTTCACTGCAGGACTGTCTTGTGCATCATGAGATTTTAGAAGCATCCCTGGCTTCTACCCATTAGGTGCCAGTGGCATACACACCACCGGCTCCCAGTTGGGAGAATAACATGAGTGAATGCTTGTTAAAGGACTTAGACCTCTCTCTGCAGCTCCACTAACATGCTAGTGGTCAGTATGTAACTGAAAAGCACAATTCCCAGCAGTTAAAACACTTATTTTGTGATAATTGTCATCAACAGGATGGCTGGAAGTTTCTTCTGGTCTCCACACCATTCCTTCTGAGGTCAGCTGGCCTGTCAGCTGGGGTTGGCTTTGCTGACCCTGCCTGAACTCTCTGGCTGTCGGATATTTCTGTTGTGCGGAGTGCTGGGGCCACATCTGTCTATACTGTCTACACTGTCTGTCTACTGGGCTGGCAGTTCACGTGGTCCCCCACCCTGCCAGCAGGCTGGCCCAGCCTGTTCTTGTGATACAGGCAGGGCTCTGAGAGCGTGCAAGCACACACGGTCACTTGAACTAACCTCCAACTGGCAACTCTCACTTCTGTCACCTTCTATTGGCTTGAGAAAGCACCAGGCCAAGCAGTGGAGAAATGGACCCCAGCCCTTTGATGGGAGCAGCTGTAAAGCCACATCCCGCGGATGTGACTGCAGCAAAGTGTGGAGGGTCAGGCCTCTCTTGCAGACCCTCTACCTAATAGGTGGTCACTGCCCTTGCATGTGAGAGCAGTTACGTGCATATCAGATACCTAACCATCTCCTGCTTCCCCTCCACTCCACAGTTTCTAGGAGTCACAGAGCTCTCAGCCTACTGCGAAGGCTACTTTCTCAAAAACATGATGGTCCTCATCGAAAACGAAGCATTCAAGCAGCTCCTCTATGACAAAAGCGGCGAAGGGACGGGCCAGGATGTGCTGCAGGACTTACAGAGGACGTTGGCCATCAGGATTCAATCAATCCACTTGTCATCTTCCAAAGGTTCGGTTGTATGAGGGGTCGGCTGCAGGGAATGCTCCGTGGGGACCTTGCCTGTTCTGCTGCGCTGGCTTCACACCGATACGTACAACCTTCACTGGCGTCTCTTTCTGGCTGGGCCAAGGAGCTGCCTCGATTGCCTCGGCTTCTCCTGAATAAGCAAATTCAGCTCCCGTGTATTCCTGTTGAAAAACCAAGGACATTCCAAGGTCCTTACAGCTGGGTCCAGAGCCTGCCGGTCGACATGGGGCTGCCAAGCTAACCCCATCTGAAAGCACCCCCAGGGCATTTGAACACCCACTGCTGGGAACTGCTGACAGGTGGATGGATTGAGAACTGAAGGTCATTCAGGTTCCAGGTTGACCTTTGGAGAACTTGACTGTACTCACCCTGAAGAGCGTAGTACTTACACATCAAGGACCTTCGGAGCTGCAGTTCAGCAGAGCCAGCCACGGTGGCATGGTAACTGCTACCTATAAGGAAGAAATAATTTGGCAAATTTTTAGGGGTGGGAACTTTATAAAATGTTCATAAAAACAAACAGGACAGCCTTGTAGTTTAAAATATATTTCTAAAAGCTTAATGGTTCATTTTCAACTGAATTATGTTTAGGGATCTGTGTTTTGAGGTTTTTTTTTTTTTTTTTTTTTAAACAGTAGGTCGCAGGTCCATTCTGTATAGACATGCATCTGACAAGATAGTGCTGATATTCTACACAAGATGAGTAATCTTGCCTTAGTGATCATGGTTACACAAAAGAGGTGCACTGCCAATAATTATCTCTAATTCAATAGCTGAAAACAGCCTGCATGCTAATTGTGGTTTTGGGGTAAGAATAAAACACCCCCACCTAACAAACACATGCATTTGCATGGGCTCAAACCTGTGAAATGTTACTTTTGTGCTTCATTTTTGCCAAGGTAAAAAACATTCCATCCCTTCTTGCTAAACAAAAAGTCCATCTGGTGAAACTGTCATATCCATTTCTTTTCTTAATTGTGAATGATGCTGGGATGCTTTTGCAGAAATTTGTCATAGAGGATGCTGGATGGGGGGTGGGGGTGGGGGCACGTCCGAGAATTTACTATTAATCCCAGAGTTTTCTCGGTATTCTCAGATGTTAATAGTTTGTTACTAGCCAGAGAACATGACTATGTTAGATTATTTTTAAAGATGAAACATGTATGATAGGATGGATTCTTTCTGTATCCTAAGAGTGTACAGTATAGGATTATCTATAAGGAGAGTTTCTATCGACAGGGTTCCGTTTGCTCTGCCATATATTATAAACAAAAGAGATGGGTGAAGTGCCACGATATTCCAAATAATTCTTGAGTTGCTGCCTCGGTTCTTGTCCTTTCATTTCAGACCTAATACATGCAGTAAAAACTAGGAGAATGACTTTTACCCTTTGGGATGGCAAAGTTTCGTTGGTAAACCTATTTCCTAGCATGCCTTTGGGAAGTTGTACGCAGACCTAGATTCTAAAGGAGCTGCTGTTTCTCCATCACACCAGCTCCCTGAGCCATTTTTGTCCAGAGGCCCGATGTCCAGTCCTGTGTTGTGGGTAGAAACCACGGAGTGCTGGGGCCACGTCTGTCTACACTGTCGGTTCTTCAGAGGCCGATCCGCCAGGCCTCCCTTCCACTCGTCGCTGGCAACCCTCTCCAGGCCCCGCCATCAAGTGAGGAAGGGGAAGAAACTGGCTGCAGAGTCCACATTACAGACAAGGCAGCACATGTGTAAGTCGGCGCTGTCTCCTGTCCTGTGTCCTCGGAGATGCCGCCTGGAGGCTTCCTTAACTCCTGGGAAGGTCGAATGCTAGTCCTGGGCCTCTGGGCATTGACTGTACGGTGGCGACTCCTGGCGGGCTTCTGTTATAGTTTGGTGTGCTTTCTCTGTCATTAAAAGAAATGATTTTCCCAAGTCATGCAGCGTCTGTGTGGTCCGTGTGAGCTCTTTACCCAACCGATGGAGAACTCGCCTCAGTTAAGAGATTGGGAAATGTGAGCCCGCAGGGAAAGCCTAGGGAAAGGAAGACACTAGATAAAAGACAGGCGTTCATGGCGCTGACCGTGGGCACCACCGGTGCTCTGGTTGGCTGGAGCTCAGCCAACCGTGCTTTGGTCCGCTGGGCCTTCATGCCCCTTAGATTTCCTTCCCATCGGCAGAGGACTCCCAGCTGCCCTCCTGGGCCGCCATCTTAGTGCCTCTTGCTGCTCAGCTCACTCACCTGCCAAGGGCAGCCTCCGGACTCATTTGTGTGACTTAATGAGTCTTTTTTTTTTTTTTTTTTTTTTTTGCTGGGGGGTAGGAAAAAGGCAAGTTTTTCCAGCAAGGTGTTTCTGCACCCACCAGGGGTCAGCAGGAAGCCTGCTGGTGAATGGCGGCGGCATTCCAAACCCATGGGCCCAACCCTGGTCTCGGTGGACATTAGTCCCCCTGGATCATCCATGAGGCCTACAAGAAGCCAGAGAGAGGCCCAGGCAGCCCCTGGAGATCTGGGCCATGACCCCAGTAAACGGACATCACCAGCACCCCCCGAGAGTGACAGCCTGCCCTGCTTAGCAGTCCAGGTCAGCTGCTTCTTCAAGAAGCAACCAAGAGCCAGGACCCAGAACTCTGGTCAGGCCAAGAGAACAGAAGGTCAGTTTATTTTTGACTGTGCATCATGTCTGTGTCACCTCAGGGTGAGTAAGCCATTTGAATTATTCATTTTAGAAATAAAGTATATGTTCCAGCATTTGCCTTTTAGCTGTCTGACGGACTGTCAGTCTGTCTTTGTCCAGTGTATAAAAGGGCCCTTAGCATCTGGGGGGGAGGGGTATCCCTAACTACCTTCCACAAAGCTCCCTTCCACCCCTTCATTTGCAATGAAAAAACAGCCAGGAGTGTGAGCATGCAAGCCCCAGGGGAATCCCAAAGGACTGGACTTGGCTTCTGTGGCCCCAGCCCACATTGGATCTGGCCTTAAATATAAGCCTTGTGTGAGTGGCATCATTCCCCCCACCCCAAAAGAAGGGGAATCCCCCACCCAACATAGAGCCCCAGGGATTAGCTTCCATCACAGGCTGCAGGTGGGAGCTGGAAGACCGTGGCAGTCACACCTGGGATAGAGTTGGAAGACGGCCATGAAGATTCTTTGCACCTCTGAGATTCTGTGCGGCTGTGATTTTGTTTTTGTAGCTTATGTTGTTTTTCCCGTGACGCCCCAGGCAAAAAAGCGCTTCTCCCACGGGATGTTGTTTTATCCCACATCATCTTATCAAGACTCTTTTATCCTAGTGTTTCACAGACCTCAGGCATGCACTCCAGCCCTGGGGAGCAGATCAGGCTCCCAGACAACTATTTGAGAAGGCATTTCACCAGTCCTCGGTTCTCCGCCTTCTTCAAAACTCAGCACCTCCCTCCACCTTGAGTTTGCTAACTTGGGTCACAGACACATGGTTTGTTAGAAAACAAAGTTCACAAATTTAGAGAGCTAGTTGGTTTTATGAAAGGATTCGTGAATCGGGCAGTGTCCCATCTAGATCCTGCAAGGGCCGACTCAGATGGAGGGTATTAATAGAGAGAAAGAGTCGGGGACAAGGTTATTAAACATAAAAGATGATTTCAGGTAAATCCACCTTGTCTCAGAGAAAGGAAAAGGGAGATTCTCACGCAGATGACTTCACTGGTGCTGATGAGGAAACTCCAGATTGGCAGGTTCAGGATGACCCTTTAAAGAGAGGTTGAAACTGCAGTGCATGTAAGTCTGGGAGGGGCCCGGATCAAGGACTCCATTTTGGGTCAGTTTTTTCTATTTTGAACAGGTTGTGGAAGCATTCACATCGCTCTGCTTCCAGGGGCCTTTCCAGTTGGCCCCTGCACCGACACCCTCCACGCCAGCAGACTTGGCTTCTTGACTTGAGGATTCCAGTCGGGGAGAGTCACACCAGGTACGGTTTTGGGTGCCCACAGCCAGGCTTCAAGCTCTGAAGTCCCCCCATTCAAGCCAGCTCAGCCCCGACGAGCTTTGAGACACTGCACAAGATGTGTAGTCTGCCTGATTTTCATTTCCCTCTTTGAGAAGTTGGTTGGAATATAACTAATTAATAGGCTTGTCAAGGGGCTGAAGAAGGTCATTGGCACACCTGCTATAGTTAGGAGCAGAGAGCTTTTCCTCGGAGAATGGATGAAGGGAAGGAGAAAACAACTCATGCCAAGAAAGGAAGGTTAGTGGTTTTGCCCTTTATTACTAGAACTTTCTATTGCAGTGATTCGCAGTGTGGTTTATGATTCTCTAGGGCTTTGCCGTTTATTTTGGGGATGGGGGCAGTTCCCCAAAAGCAGCTCTATTGCAATCATAGTTCCTAGTACAGCGTCTCACACAGTCGGTGACCAAGAAAACCTGCAATATCTGCCTAGTTCAACTAGATTGCCTTTCATCTAAGCCCTGTCCCTCAATGCTGGAGTTGCAGGCATGAGTTCTCCCAAACTCCTCACTACTCAAGCTCTGCATGAGGAACACGAGACTCACTTCTGTGACTCTAATGAAATGAGTGAGGCCTAAGGCCCCACAAATGAGAGAGCAGGGACCCGACCCCTGGGGCCGGCTCTCAGTCCTGGGCTGGGGACAAAGGCTCCTTGGAGAGTAGGAGGGTCTTGATAAGTCTCCAACTAAAACAAACAGCTAAATGGCAACTCCAGAGAAACCCAGGTCCGCTGTCCTCATCAAGTCAGCAGCTGAGCCCCTGCCCTTTGCTGCCCCTTGAGAGTGTGAACACTGACCCCTCCCCCAGGAATCACCCCGACATGACTTCACAACCCCTCTGTCCCTGGCCTCCTGGCCAGTGAGCAGCACGTGCCTTCGGACCAGGCCATGGCGGAAGCCGGTATATGCCTATTTTTTCACCCCATTTAAAAATAACCCAGCAGATTTTTAACTTCCTGCTTGGTGGGAAAAATTAGAACTTGCACTCAGCAATCACGTTGCACTTTAGATCCCGTTCCTGATGAGGCAGTCAGATAGCAGGGCCCCGTGAAAGGACACAGCTCCAAGTTTAGCTCTGAATGTGAAAAGACGATCTGTCTGCATGAATAGGCAATTAAAAGAGACGCCCCGGTGCCACAGATACGTTTGTCGGATGTTGCTCTGCAGAGCTAACCTCCTGATGAGTTCTGAATGTCAATGCCATCTCCAGTCTCTGGGACCACGGCCTGCAGAAAGGAAGCAGGTGGTGTAATAGAGGGAACTGGGCAGGCACCAGATCTCACCCTGGGCCCGTTGCTGCCGTCGATTATATTCGGATGACCTTGGCCTGGCCTCTTCTCCATTTTTGACCTGTTTCCTCAACTCTAAATGACAGTCTTTGTGAGCTGATGCTCCAAGCACCTAGCCGGGGACATTCATGTAGTACAGTAGAACTTAGTGCTAACTCCATTTAGCAAGATGGAACATTCCAGCTTACATCCAAGGGGAATCAGGGGATAATGATGTCTTCAGTAAAACAGGCAAGAAAACAAAAAAAATCCTTTACGATGAGGCTCCACTATTTTTATTAGGAGGCTGCATGTCACTGGGCCTCATAATTGCCACCTCGTGCTTATTTTTTTCAATTTTTGTTGTTAAATATAGCTTTACAGAAAGCTGCAAAGATAGTGCAGAGAGGCCCTGCATCCCCTTCCCTCAGGTCCCCCCAAAGGTTACACCCTAAGTGCCTCTAGTGCATGATCAAAGCCAGGACACAGACGTTGCACATGCCCGCCTCTAGCTCAGTGCCATTGGATACATGTGTAGATTGGCTTCACCACTCCCACTGTCACTATCCCACTTCCACAAAGATCTCCTCTTTGTAGTCACTCCCAACTCCTCCACACACCATCCTTAACCCTGGAACGTCACCAATTTATTTTCCACCCCTGTAGTTTTGTCGCTTTGAGAATGTTAAGGAAATGGAAACTTAGAGTAAGTAGCTTTTTGCACTCAGCACAATGCCCTTCAGATCCACCCAAGGATGTTGCATGTATCAAGAGCCTGTCCCTTTTTATGGCTGAGTAATACTCCCCAGCATCCCCACTCCTTTTACACAGACATGTCAGAAGTAGAGCAGTAAGACAGCTTGGTTCTCACAGCTGACTCCAGAACACAAGTATGTCCCCTGAGAGCTGGTCATGACTTGCTGGTCTTGCCACGTGGAGATAAGGCCACCCTACAACATTAGTCCAACAATTAGGTGTCAGCGATGGATCTCTGAGATCCGCTGCTCCCACCTGGGCTAAATGATCTTTCAGCTCTGTCGTTAGGTCTTTCTGTGACTGATTGACTTCTTGGTGGAAAGAAGTGGTTGTGTTAGTGGAATAGGCCTGGTCTCTGCTACCTGTCACCACCAAAAAGCCAATAAGCAGAGACAGGAATTGAATCTATATATGCTTTTGTTTTTTAGATCGTTGGCCGTTGATCTGAGAGAACAATGGGTAGAGCAGCCTGATGAGACTGTTCTGCCATCTCCTTTCGAGATGGCTCTTAATAATTGTTAAACAAAGGGCCTCCCCGGTGGTGCAACGGTTGAGCGCTGGGTTGCGAAGCTGCCCGCAGCCTCTTCAGCCCCAGTTCCAGCCCAGGTTCGATCCCCGGCCACCGGGTGATGGTCCCACATGGCACGCAGACCTCTCCTGCCGCCCGCTGCTCCCCTCAGCAGTGTACTTCGGTCCTTCTGCCTGTTCTGCTCCCTGCTCTGGCTCTGGTGAATTCTCTCACCCTCCCGCGCTTCTGACTGTACCCAGTGCTTGTATGAATAAATAAATAAATATTTAAAAAATAATAATAATTGCTAAACAAAGACAGTCATAAGTAAACAGCCCATCAGAACAGTTCCTCATAGTTGAATCATTTTATCTGAATAGGCTGTCAGATTTGAAGTTCCTGACTTTTCATCACCT